AACTCTTGGGCTCAAGTGATTCTCTTGCCTCAGCCTCCCATGTAGCTGGGACTACAGGCGCCTGCCACAACACCCAGCTATTTTTAGAGATGGGGTCTCGCTCTAGCTCAGGCTGGTCTAGAACCTGTGAGCTCAGGCAATCCACTTGCCTCGGCCTCCCAAGTGCTAGGATTATAGGCCTGAGCCACTTTGAGCCCAGCCTCTGTGATTGAATTTTAATTAAGCAGTTACTGAATCCCTCTAAGTTAGGTAATGTATCTTGCGTCTAGAAGTGATGGGTAACACCCAATTCTAGTTCTTAGAGATCCTATAAGCTGGTGATTAAGATCTCAACAATTGGCTCTGCACCTGTAGCACAGTGGTTACAGCGTTGGCCACATACATTGAGGCTGGAGGGTTTGAACCTGGCCTGGGCCAGCTAAAAACAATGGCAACTGCAACAAAAAATAGCCAGGCATTGTGGCAGGCGCCTGTAGTGCCAGCTACTTGGGAGGCTGAGGCAAGAGAAATCTTTTGAGCCCAAGAGTTGGAGGTTGCTGTGAGCTGTGATGCCATAGCACTTTACCGTGGTCAACAAACTGAAACTCCATCTCAAAAAAATAAAAAATAAAAATGTATCACAAAAATAATCTTTCTTGGCCAGAAGAGTCCCTAAGAATGAACTCCCTCAGCCCAGCATGGCGGTTCATGCCTATAATCCTAGCATTCTGGGAGGCTGAGGTGGGAGGATTGCTTGAGCTCAGGAGTTCAAGACCAGCCTGAGCAAGAAGAGTAAAACCCCATCTCTACTAAAAATATAAAATAATTAGCCAGGCGTGGTGGCATGTGTTGGTAGTCGTAGCTACTTAGGAGGCTGAAGCAAGAGGATCACTTGAGCCCAGGAGTTTGAGGTTCCTGTGAGCCAGACTCATGCCATGTCACTCTACCCAGGGTAACAGAGGGAGACTCTATCTAAAAAAAAAAAAAAAAAAAAAAAAGACTCCCTCCATACTGATGTGCTGCTTATAGATGAAAAGTATATGACCAAGAGTTGGTGAAAGGAAAGACTGGAAGTTTAAGCTAAAATGTTAGGAGGCCTACAGATTGCTTTATGTATTCATGCATGAAGATCAGCTAGGGATCATCTAAACCAGTGGTTCTCAGCCTTCCTAATGCCGTGGCCCTTTGATACAGCTGATCTAAACACTAATGGACTTGGACTAATTCTGCTCACTTCTTTGGATGCAACCACGAGCACCTCTTGGTGCCTAGGTGTCACTGAGGGTGGCATAGTGAGACTCTAAAGTCTCAAAAAAAAAAAAAAAGATCTCAACAATCCAATCCTCTTCTTTCCTCGGTATTTAAAAAAATCTGAATTGTGGTAAAACACATAACAAAATTTGTCATTGTAACCTTTCTTTAAGATAGGGCCTCACTCTGTTGCCCCAGGTAGAGTGCAGTGGTGTCATCAGAGCTCACTGCAATCTCAAACTCCTAGGCTCAAGTGATCCTCATGCCTCAGTCTCCTGAATCGTTGGGACCACAGGTGCGTCCCTCTAGTTAATTTTTCTTTCTTTGTAGAGATAGGGTCTTGTTTTGCTCAGGCTGGTCCTGAACTCCTGGCCTCAAACAATTCTCCCAACTTGGCCTCCCAAAATGCTCGGATTATAGGCATGAGCCAGCATGCCTGGTCAATCATAACTATTTTTTTTAATCATAACTATTTTTAAGTGTGCAGAATAATACTGGTAAGTATATTCATGTTGGCGTGCAACAGATCTCTAAAACTTTTTTTTTTTTTGAGACAGAGTCTCACTCAGTCACCCTGGGGTTATGTGCCATGGCATCAAAGCTCACAGCAACCTCCAACTCTTGGGCTCAAGCGATTGTCTTGCCTCAGTTTTTCCATTTTTAGTAGAGATGGGAGTCTTGCTTTTCTTAGGCTGGTCTCAAACTCATGAGCTCAAACAATCCATCTACCTTAGCCTCCCAGAGTGCTAGGATTATATGTGAGCCAACATGCCCAGCCAGATCTCTAGAACTTTCACCTGGAAAACTCAAAGTCTGTACCCATTGAACACCTTCTCTCCTTCCCCCCCCATTTTATGGATGAAGTAATACTCTGTAAACAAATATTTTAGTGGAATTGCTACTACAGCAAGAAGTTTTCTTTTCATCAAATGCAGGATTTCCTAATATGTATGTGTCTCTTTTCTCCTCACCTAGATGAAGTTTCTTGAAGTGAAGGAGACCGTCCTGTCATTGTGTTGCATCTCAACACTCACCA